ATCTGAGGAATTGAGTTCTAATCCTCACTGTGCCAATAACCAGCTGCTCAGTCTGTTCATATGCGGAAAATGAGTCCTTGGTCTCCTGAAAGTCAGTTCCATCACTTAAAATATGTAACAGACTGGTATGTATGTATGTATGTTTACACTATTTCTCCTAATGTATCTGTCTTTGAGTAGGAACTCAGATACGGAGCACTACTTATATTTTAGAGTCTGCCAGTTTATGTAATAACAGGTGTAGATAGGACTTAAAATGGATTCTCCCTGGGGACAAGGAGGAGGGTTTTTTTTTTTTAATGCAATTAAATATAGTTGTCAATTTATACAAAAAGTGTACAAACAAGTTATAATCCATTTTGCTCTGTTATAATGCTGCTCTGGATATATTTCTATTGTGAAAATTTTAGTTTGCATTAATCATTCTGGATAACTACTCTCTCCTCATTTTTAGAATTGAAATCCTCAGTGTAACAGGATACAAATTAAAGAAACCAAACATTCAATTCTATAGTCTGACCCATGTAATATGTCAGGCCTGCAAACAATTCCAATCTGCATCTACCAGCACACTATGAACCTCTACAGAAATACACTTTTGCAACTGTTTATAATTTTATCTATTCAAAAAATAGGAACCACCTCCTCTATCCTTTAGTTCAGCAACCCCCATCATTCATCTTTGCTAATGGTTCTCAATGGTGCTTGTTCTCCACAACTGTAACTCACACAGCAAAGTATCAGGTGTCTCAAAGTCCATGGAACAAACTACAAAGGAAATGTTTGTGGTCAATAGACCTTATCCACTTCAGTTAAATAGGATCACATGGTTGTGAGGAGTGGGCTACTTAGACTCAGCATTTTCTACTTGGCTCAAGCTGAAGAGGTCATTGACTGCAGTGGAAGAGTCTACACGTAACTGACACTCTTGTTTTCCAGCTAACTCATTAGCCTGAACACCCTTGCTCAAAACCTCTACTTTACAGACCGTAAAAAGCAGCAGAGTGTCATTTGGAGAATTAATTCTATTTACCAAGAAAATACATAGGTAAAACAAGGAATAAAGCAATAGAAAAAAATAAACACCTTCAAATATTTTCATTTCTACCACGATATTTCTGCAATACCAAAATAAAACTGACCCATACATGTATTTCAGAAGAAAATACCTGGTTTTTACTCACTTTATTGAACAAGGACTACTTAGCAGCTTACAAACAATTTAGTACTAAGAGCATCAGGCAGATGAAGTACACAGAACTACCGCAACCAAAAGGCCAAGTGCAATAACATTTAGGTTCAAGATTTCATTTGAACTCATTTATAACAGCAAGTTTAAAATACCTCCCCCAATGACTAGGCAAAGGCATAGTATACTGTGTGTGCTCTCAGCTGATATGCCCAGCAACTGAGATATTTAAAAAATAAAATGATAATAATAAAATAAAAAATAAAAATAAAATAAAATAAAATGGGTGTAATTATGCATGTTATTTTAACTATAGCTAACTTAAAACTTTAAATAGGAATAATCCATACACATGTAAAATCTACTATTTTAGATGGACCATAACACTTGGAATATTCTGTACTAAAGACTTTTTCACAGAGCTCTTTAATTTTTTTTATTAAAGGTTTTTATTTATTTGAGAGAGAGAGAGATTGAGCATGTGCGCAAGCAGGAGGAGAGGCAGAGGGAAAGACAATACTGAAGCCAACTCCCCACTGAGCATAGAGCCCCCACACAGGGCTCAATCCCAGGACCCTGAGATCATGACCTGAGCCAAAACCATGAGTTGGACGCTTAACCAACTGAGCCACTCAGGTGCCCCACAAAGCTCTTCAATTTTAAAAAAATATCATTGAAGTGAGACATTGTAAATTGGGGCTCTAAAGTAAAGTAAAGTAAAATTCCTTAATTTCAGAAACATAGTCTGACTTCCTAGCTCTGTGATCTGTTGAGGTCACTTCATCATTTTCCTCATTGTGAAAGCAGGTGTAACACCAATACTCACCACACGGGTTGCTTAGAAGAACCTAATTAAGTCACAGATGTAATAGTTCAGTGAAAACCCCTAAAATTATAGTTGTAAATAAAGATTAGCTACTACTATTCTTTAATTTTATTTAATTATTTGACAGAGAGAGACACAGCGAGAGAGGGAACACAAGCAGGGGGAGGGGGAGAGGGAGAAGCAGGCTTCCTGCTGAGCAGGGAGCCCAATGCGAGGCTCGATCCCAGGACCCTGGGATCATGACCTGAGCCGAAGGCAGACACTTAACAACTAAGCCACCCAGGCGCCCCTAGCTACTACTATTCTTGAAAAAACTTTTCCTTGCTCTGAACACATTGAACATTTTTATTTTCTTCCTACTTCCGCCCTTCCTTCTCAACCTCCTTATCTGTCCTGTTTTTCTCTCCCAAAACATCAAATGTTAAATTCTCATATTATACAGAACCTAGAGGTCCTCTTCTCATTCTATTCTTTCCCAGAAAAAAATCTAATTTTACCTCCCATGATTTTAATTACTAACTAGAAGGCAATAATTCCCAAATGTGTATTTCTAATTCAGATCTGAATATACATGTGCCAACTCAACATCTCCACTTGGGTGTCCTGGAGGAACTTCAAACTCATTATGTCTAAAAGCAAACTCACCATTTTTGCCACCCAAACATAAATGTTGCCTATCTCAGTAAGTCACTCCAAAAATCATCCAGTTATACAACCCAGGACCCTAAGAGTAAACCCTGAAATGTCCTGTTCCTTACCTCCCAGTATGTAACCCATTTCCTACCTCTCCCATTTTACCTCTGAAATACATCCCTTTGTCTCCACAGCCACTATCACCTTCTGAATCTAAAGTTACTATCCAAGAGCCTCCAAATTGGTTTCCCAAAGCAGTCCTACGCCTCCAATCCCAGCATGACAGGCAACATCTAAAATGCAAATATAAAAATATAAAACAAAACAAAATAAAATAAAAAGCAAGTATCACTCCTCTAGCTACAACTTTTCTTTGGCTTGTCAGTGCCCTCAGAATAAGGAGCAAAATACCACAGATCATTAATAAAGCTGGGCACATGCCCTTTGTCTCCGCTGTCCTCTATATTCCTAACATCCTGGATGTTTTTCTTCTAAAATGCTAGGCTCTATCCTCCTTTAAGGCCTTTATTCATACCCACTGTGTTCCCTCTTTGGGAATATGAAAGGTTTTTCCCTTCCTGCCCCTGAACCCCCATTTCTAGCTATTTCTTTATCATTTAGTTCGCTGTTTAATCAATACTTCCTCCAGAAGGTGTTTCCTGGTTCTCTGGACAAGGTCAGTTTTATTAATTATACTCTCACAAAGCACTCTTTACTCTTGAATTACAATCCTCAGTGCATTTGTAATCACTCTGGAGTCTGCTTTCCACAAGAGATAATAAGGGACACAACAGCAGGCAAGCCTGTCTTGTTTACAACTGTATCCCTTAATCTTATCAAACACCATGCTTGCCAAAAGTGCAACAGCCATGATATTGATAAATGTTGGCTGAATTAATTAACATAAAAAATGTTCTGGTTTAGTCCTTAACTTGATAATGGCTTATAATTTGTAGAAAAATGCACATAAAACTAATTCAAGACAGACTGTGCTAGCTTTTTACAGTAAATAAGCAAAAAAAATGCCCGATTCTATAAGAAAGATTATCAGTTCTGGAAGGGGAACAAATATGAGGAAGGCTTCTTTCTAGTGCTGGGGTATGAATGAAGCCATGGAGAGCTACCAGGATTTCAACAAGCGAACAGCAAAAAATATTCCAGGGAGAGAGAAATTGGGGCAAAGCCATAGACCTAGTCAGGGTATAAAGAGAGACTGTGAGAAGACAATGTGCCTGAGTGGGGAGGTGTGCTGAAATATAGCAAATGGGCACACTGTGAAAAGCTGGAAAACTTTCATTATCAGAATCAAAGTGTCTCTCAAGGAGGACCACTGAAAACTTCATCACTGAAGAATGATGAAGACAGCAAAAACATGTTAACTGATTAAGATTCAGGTGTGTGGAGACCAACTAGTAAGTGATTTCAATATTTCAGATGTAAGGGGAAGGAGGAAAGGAGGAAAAATAATTCTGCAATAGAATAAACAACACTGCTCAAATGGGGAAGGGGTAGATCATTGACTAAATGGAAAATCAAAATAGAGAAAAGATGGAGAAAGGATGGGAGATGATGATTTCTATTTTGGAAACCCTAAATTTTATGTCCTAATGCTGACCAGGTAAAGTGTAGACCCAAGAAAGAAGATGCAATTTCAAAAATTATCAGGCTCAGGGTAATTTTAATTGGTCCATAATCAATTAAGCATTAATGCAAAGTCTTGAGAAACATGTCAAAAGTTATTTCACAGACACATTTTTTAAAGACTTATTTATTTGAAAGACAGGGCACAAGTAGGAGGGGCAGAGGGAGAAGGAGAAAGATTCCCAAACATACTCCATGCATGAAGCCCAACACAGGGCTTGATCTCAGGACCCTGAAATCATGACCTGAGCTGAAACCACGAGGGGGACACCTAACCAACTGTGCCACCCAGGCGCCCCTCACAAACATATTTTTATTAATAATGAAAAAATACCAAAAAAATAATAAAAGTTATTTTATGATTACTGCCTGAGTTTTCAATATACCCTATACCTAATTTTTATTTTGTATGGTTACGGAAAAAGCTCCTCAATTTTACCTTAATTTCATGCTCTTTAAAATAGTTAATTTCCTACAATTGTTGGGATGGAAGGAACTCACTTATAACATGCTGACTTTCTCTATTAGTAGAAGAATATCCTTTATGTTTAAAAGAATTCCAATCTTTATAATAGGCTCTGTGCAAAAGTTAAAAGTGATGTACAGAATTTTTTAAAAGGTCATTCTAATTTCAAAAATGTTAACATCTGAAAGTATGTCATCTTTAATTATCAGGAGGATATCTGAAGAATAATAAAATATAACACTTACTTTTGCTGCACCTATCTGTTCTTTGCGAAATTTCTCAAGTGGAGCAATTAATACATCATTAGCGTTTTGAATCTGAAATTAAAAATGAAATACATTAACTTCTGTATAATTTCATGCAAATATTAAAAAACAGATAGCTCCTTTATTCAACATACTTCAGTAAACAGCTTTTGTTCTCTTGTTGGCTTCTACAAATGAAATAAAAATGCCTTGCATGTTGTATAGTATTTTCTGTTTTATAAGGTTGTTTTCACAAATTATTTCACTTAATTCCAACAATAATGTGAATAATGGACAAGTACACATGTTCAGATCCTAGTCTGAAATTTAATTTCATATTCTAAGATGTAACTAAGAAGTAACAGATATTAAATTACAAATACCTTTAATTACACTGGTATAATGCAGTCAATTTAAGCATCATTTTAAAATTGAGCCATATAAAGCTCTTCTATTTGTCACTATAATGTTATTCTACAGCTGCAAATAAAATAAGGCTCATTTTTTTCTACTTAATTAGATTTCTTACACTTGGGATTTGCCTGAATGTTCATATATTTCCAACCCTACTATAATAGTACCTGATTTCATTTCAATGAACAGTATTTTAGCCCCAAACTCCAAATTGGGATTTACTAACACTTTAAAACAGATAAATATTTTAATTTGGATCTGTGAGAATATTGTGAAGAAGGAGTTTTCATTGTGGGAGCCAGGAACTGAATGCAAGAGACAGACATTTCTAAGAAAAACAGTATGCTGGGAGGAAATCTTCAACTGAAAAAACCTTTAGAAATCACTAAAATTAAACATAAGATCTTAAATGTTCTCAACACACACAAAAAATGGTAATTATGTGACAGCATGGAAGTGTTAGCTAATGCCCTGATGGTAATCATTTTGCAATATATACATGTAGCAAGTCAACCTATGCACCTTAAACTTACACAATATTATATGTCCATGACATCTCAATAAAACTGAAGGGATATTTATAGTTAACAAACAAAATTTATAGTTTACCACTGTGATAATATGATCTATTATATAATTAGCAAATGCTAAGATGAAGAGAAAACCCTATTTTTTAAAATATATAACTCTTTTAAAATAGGTTGAATAATATATAGGAGTTCCTTATATCATTCTTACAACTTTAATGTAAGTCTAAAATTATATCAAAACTCTAAAATTTCAATGAAAGTGTTTTACTTTCACTTATTTTCACTGAACTTACTATTCTCTAGTCAAGTTTTATTTCTCAAATTCCATATCTAAATGCACAAAGATAGTATACACAAAAATAAAAACTAGAGTGTTAGTGCCTTCCATGATTATCATTCTCCAATTCGCAGAAAAATAATATGACAAATCTTGAAGAGAGGACTTTAACTCCTTATATAAAGACATATAAAGTAGATCAATGCTCAAAATCCTTTCTAAGATTTTTTTTTTTTAATTTATTTGACAGAGAAAGACACAGCGAGAGAGGGAACACAAACGGGGAGTGGGAGAGGGAGAAGCAGACTCCCTGCCGAGCAGGGAGCCCGATGCGGGACTCGATCCCGGGACTCCAGGATCATGACCTGAGCCGAAGGCAGTCGCTTAACCAACTGAGCCACCCAGGCGCCCTCAAAATCCTTTCTAAGACATCAACAACAGACTGTAGATACCTCTGACATCCATCACCTAATACCCATTTGTGAGCTCAGATAGGCATCCCTCCAGATACACTGTGAATGCATCTTTCTAGAGAGAGATGATTGGAAAGTAGCAAAGTAGCTCACTTTTAATTCTCAGGCTCTACATCTTCTTTGCCCTCATGAAACCCCAAATACATAAACACACGCACACACCCGTGCATGCATGCACACACACACACGCACGCACACACATCTGCTTCTAAACTTAAGATTTGCATAAGGTGAAAGACAATGTCATGAACACTCATGTGTAATTTGGAAAAATGATAACAATAAAGGCTAACATTTACTGAATGTTTATGATATGCTGGAAACAAGCATGATATAATATATTTAAAGTTAGTGAATTTAAACAGGGAGATATTTCTCAAGTGGTAAAAACTCCAATAATAAGGATGTTGAATAAGATGATATGCAATAAACAATGAATCATGGAACACTACATCAGAAACTAATGATGTAATGTATGGTGATTAACATAACATAATTTAAAAAAAAAGATGATATGCCTAGCACAAGTACATATATTTAAAATCAAGACAACCTGGGTTTAAATTGGGGCCTATTTCTACAAGCTGCTGTTTAACCATTCTGAGCATCAGCTGCAACACCTACCCCACAACTTAACTTGGTTCTAAAGACTAAGATAATGAATGTAAAACACTTATTTCAGTGTCTTAATATTGATATTAATAGTGCTCAAAATTTATAGCTTTTAATACCTCCAAACTGATATAGATAATTAATCTCATTCTGTATTTACCTACTGAGTAGACTTCTGTATCTGAATCTACAATATTACCCTTTGACTGAAGTGTATCTATGCGCACATTATGAGAAGGTATTTTCCCATAAAAGTCCTGAAAGACAGATGGCCTTGGCTCTCCCATATCCAATCACTAGGTACTTATGTACATGCCAAGCACATTGATGAGGTCTATGATAAAGGGAAAAAACTAAGGCATAGACTAAACCTTCCAGAAATGTAATGTCTATTTGAGAAGAGAGGAAAATTTTATTCATTCAACAAATATTTGATGCTCTTAAAACACTGCTAAAATATTTGGAAAAATTGAAAGACAAAACTGATTAGTTTTGCATGATAAACTATGGAGAACAGGATTTTGACACCAGTAAACATCCTTGAGAACTAAATGAGTCAAGGTAGGATTTGGATGGTGAATGTGAACTGGATACACTGAAGAGACAAAAATATTCTAGAAATAAGGAACACCATAAATAAAGGCAAGGGGATAGAACTAAGCCTGATATGTGGGAAGGGAGAGTGCAATGCAGAAAAAAAAAGCAATTTATTAAGCACTCATTAAGAGTCAATCATGACTGTGAGTGCATTGACCTAGTTACAGGCCCTCAGTTAACTTTTGAAAAATGGGAATACAGAATGAATATGAAGTATGTCAAACAGTTCTGGCACATAACATGCTTTATAGAATTAATACATTATTATCAACTAACAAGAACATTATCTAGCTGGAGAAAAGTGTATATATATTTTTAGTAGGAAACTCAGTTGGAATAAGGAAAAGATACCCATAATCTAGGAAGAACAGCCTTAACGTGGAATCCCTGCTGGCTTCTAAACAGAAAATTCATGTTGTAAAAACCTGTTCTAGGAAGCCAGGAATATGTGGGATCGTTTGAGAATGAAGAGATGCCAGGTGAATAGATGGGAGTGGAACTCAAGTTTGAAATAATTAGGTACTAGGATCAGGTACCTGCAGTGTTGAGGAACAGCTAATAGGGAATGGCAGTGTTCTCAGAAAACAGAAAAAGACCCAGAGGGAGAGGAATCAAAGGGGACATTAAGAGGTTTTGCCTCAGGCACTGAACTTTCGCATCACATTAAGAATGAGGGTAAATGAGGTAAAGAGTATGTTTGAGGGAGAAGGAATAAAGATAATGAATTTCACTTTGGATCTACTATGTTCGATGCCATGGGAAGACTCCAATATTTTGGCAGAATATGCCATCTCAAAATAACAGAGTTAATCAATATGAAAGAAATATTTTTATTGGGAAGAGAAGGATTAGGAAAGGGACCAATTGATAGATCCATATACTAAGACATTGGCACCACACTAGTATCCAGTGATTTCAATCTCTGCCACATGTAAATATGACCTGGGAATAAAACAAAACCTGAGGATATAACACATGAGATGTGAATTAACAACCACCCTATGAGGCAGTTATTATTCCTTAACCCAATTTTCTTCATTTTTTTCCTTTTGTTTTTGCATTTGTTCATTTTTCTCCTCTTTCTTTCTCTCCTACTCTCATTCTATAATGTGAAACTGAAGGAATAAAAAAAAATAAATCTCAGTGTTTTCATCCCTATACCTCTTAAGATGTTTATAAAAATTAAAGGAGAAATACACATTTTTAAAATAACAGGCATAGATTTGACACATGACAGCCTTTGGAAAAATGTTTCCTTCTTCACAGAATTTGCAATGTCTACTATGTGTTCAGTCTTAAATTTCCCAAGATTTTTTTTTTTTTTAAGATTTTATTTATTAGACAGAGAGACACAGCGAGAGAGGGAACACAAGCAGGGGGAGTGGGAGAGGGAGAAGCAGGCTTCCCACAGAGGAGGGAGCCCGATGCGGGGTTCTATCCAAGGACCCTGAGATCATGACCTGAGCCGAAGGCAGACGCTTAACAACTGAGCCACCAGGCGCCCCACATTTCCCATGATTTAAAGTGTAGTTCTTCAAAGGTAGAAACTGAATTGAAATTAATTTAACAGAAAAGTACTGATCTACTGGATAGATAATAGTTAAACAGGAACCTATTTTTTTTCCATAAGCCAGTATAACATATGTGTTGTTTTAGATCTCAAATATCATGCTTTTTTGTGTGCAGTCAATGAACCGCTGTTCACAACACGTGAATCTAAACTCAAGACATCAAAATGGAAATGCCAACAACACTTTTCAAAGGGCACAAAGTGGATTTACAATCCAATTTGGCTGCTTCTGATCCTTACTTTGTACATCCCCCAGGGAATGCATGCTTTTCATCCCCACAAACTGGTCAATCACATGGACAAAATTCTTCAATTCTGAAGTAATCCAAGTGTAAATTAAAGGTGTTTAAAATTTTAGCAGGTTTAAAAGAGGTACTGCTGCTACTGCATAATAAAGGAAAATGACATACAAAATGGTGGAAAACTATAATTAAAACGTGAATCAGGGTACAACTCTGGTGACTTTACTTTCGTAAGGTCTAAAAAAAAAATCTAGAGAAATGAAATTTTGGCTCACATGGAACTTTTTCTCCCCAGATTTACACAAGAGGCTTGATGAAACTTCTCCCAGAAGGTAATTCCAGGTTGGGGGGAGGGCA